CACAACAATGTGACTAGAGAGGGGTCTAGGGGAACGTCTATAGGAAGAGAGGTGGATGGGGGACGTACATCTACTGATAATGGGCTTTTTTTTTTAAAACATGCTCCTATCTATTCGTGGGGAGCAGCACCTGCTGGAAATCGGGCCCAGCGTCCCATATGAAGACATGTTCAAAACAATTTATGAACCAATTGAGGTACCGGGGCCATTTACCCGGTTTCAGCTTTTGAGAGTATCCTCCAAGATCGTGAACAAGCTACTGGACTTCGGGATAGATGATGAGAGGACTACGAATCTTTTTTTATGATCGCTAAACACCTCCTGAAATCCACCGCAATTTTCTGAACACTCGAGTATCTAAGGGATTTCCAACAGATCATAACAAAGCTCACTGAAACTGACTTATTCTCTGACAAACTCATCCAGGCCTCACGCCCTACAGAGCAACGCGACTCACTCCAGCTCCGGCCAGTGTCGTCCTGTGTCAGCAACCCCCAGCTGTCCCTTAGGATGCCCCCGCATAGCATCCCCAGATCTCTCTACAAGTCCTCATGCCCTCACCTTCGGCATAATGGGCTAGAACCTTTTTTTTTTTTTTTTTTTTTTTTCTAGGTCACAATAACAACAACAATGCTTCATGTAACGAACAGCACAACAACATGGGGGCACATGGATGGGGTCTACCTATGGGACTTGTAGTAGAACGTCTACAGGTAGCACTCAAAGTACCCGTACGACAGGGCTCGTCCAACTATGCTTCCGTCAACCTGGGCTGGGCTGGGCTGGGCTGGGTAGGTCCCGCTTAGCCCTGGTGCCTACAACCGCTATCTGGTCAGGTCACCCCCATTGGGATATTAATAGGAGGGTGATACTATTCCTGAGTGGTGGACATTGAGGTAGGACTGTGGGAGTAGGGGTGCGCCAGGGAGAATTAATGAGAAGGGATTAGAGACCTCTACAGACCATCTGGATAAATTAACCCATGGCCTACTACTACTATAGGGGACTATCATAAGTCTAGCATCCAGCTTCTACAACAACCCCAGGCTGGCCTTTGTCTAAAAAAGACAAAAGAAAAGAGCCTTTGTCTAAAAAAGACAAAAGAAAAGAGCCTTTGTCTAAAAAAGACAAAAGAAAAGAGCCTTTGTCTAAAAAAGACAAAAGAAAAGAGAAAAAGTTCCCACGTTCCACATCCACGTCAAAAGCGTGCTTCACGAAGGTCGCAAACGTCCTGGAAACTCGTCTGATCCCACCACTACACTACGACTGTAGTCGTGAAAAAGCACTACAAAGATGTCAGCGGCCGTGGCGGGATGAAAAAGAGAAACTGGATCCCACGAGGGCGACTTCTTCGGTGGTTGTCCTGGACCCGTGGCAGTTATTTGTGGGCTTTTGCAGAGGGCGGACGTTTTCGCCAACCGAAATGCCACACAACAGTGTGGTCCACAGACATTCCTGATGCTACAAACAGAAAAAAAAAAAAAAAAAAAAAAAAATTGGTACCTCTTTTTCGCTGCAGAGATGCCCTCACGGTCTACAGAAAAATTGTAGTAACTACGCTTGCACACTTCGCAGACGTGCTGCCACGACACACTCAAACGAAAGTATGGCAAAATATTTCGGTGGCTGAGACGACGCCGGAAAGTGGTGGGAACGGAAAACTACACTGTAACTGGGCTGTAGTGTAGTCACTGTGGTTGGATCAGACCCTTAGGGTCTCACCGCACAGCAGACAAAACGAAAACGAAACGAGTGCATCTGCCCACTAAAGGTGGCAAAATACACTCGTTACTATTTATAGCAAACCGATGAACCTGGCCATTTTCTGCAGGAAGATGCACACGTTCCGTTTTTCGTTCGCGGCGACGCCCTTAGTATGTTTGAGTCACACGCAACGTTCAGAATACGAAACCATAGCAGTTTTTGAAATCATGGAGCAAAAAAAAGGCCACCCTAAATCTGCCAAGCGCCACTGCAGGTAATGCTTACCCAGCCACAATTTTAGTTCCCCCCAACACTTGAACATTTCGAAAACGCATACACACACGCACACGCACACACATTCACACACACACACACACACACACACACACACACACACACACACACACACTGTTTTTTTTTTTTCTTTTTTTTGGGATTGATTGATTGAATCAATCAACCAATCACAATCAATCAATCAATCAATCCATACGTCTGTGACTAAAAAACAAAAAACAAAATTAGGGGAAAGAAAGAGAAAACCTTACTTTTTTTTTTTTTTGTGTGCGTGTGTATATTCTTATCTTTTTTTCTTTTACAGTTTTCATTTTTTTTACATGTTTTTAATACCAAAAAATCAGCGGTTTGGGAGAAAAAAAGGGGGTTGTAGGGTTGGAGAAACCCTAGAACCCCCCGCGCTTTTCCATTTATTCGGCGGGGAAAAGTCCACAAAGGCCCGAAAACAGTGACCCAACCGCGGCAGTCCGCGGCCACGGTTGATATCCCGGCCGTGGGCCGGGATCAACCCCTCGGTCGCTACCGCGGGGGACACATAGGTCTTCATCGAGTTTCTAGCCATTCAGAATCTGTAAAGAAAGCCATTCTGTAAAGAAAGCCACGGGTAGGAGACACAGCACACTAAAGGCTCCCAAAAAAAAAAAAAAAAAAAAAAAAAAAAA